CCAGGGCAGCCAGAGGGAAGCCCTGGACTCCCACAGCCAACAAGTCTGAGCTGGTTAACAATGGAGAGATTAAAAAAAAAAAAGCTTTTAAACTTCTCTAAAGCTATAACTCAGCCAGCCCGTATCTCTGTTTTTCCCCCCTATGATTGCATTAAGCACTCCAGTCCTAACTACCTTTACCTGCTCTAAGACCTTAAAGAAGCACTGCAAGTTCCAGTTCTTTCCTCATGCAAACCTCAGGTGAGACAACGTTTTTCAGGGCACAGAGACCTGTTTGGGACAGAGACCTGAATGTGGGTGCATATCCTTCCCTTCCTCTCCCACTTGGAGGTTCTTGTGATGTCAAAGCAATGTCTGAACAACAAGGGGAGGAAACCCCAAAACTTTTGGGTTTTAGCCACCCTTGGTGAGAAAAGAAAAATCATGACATTTAACCAGCACAGTAAAATCAGCCAGAAATTATGAGCTTTTTCACATCTCCTCAGCACCCAGTTAATAAATTAATGGCTTTCTGCTTACAATGAGAAAAATAATTGTTTAGAATTAGCACAAATGCTGTAAGTCTTAATGTGAGTCCCATTTTCACCTCAGCTCTTTCTTTGCACATTTCTGAGGGGTTGAACGGGCTCAATTTTACATTTAGAGAAAAGTGTGAGTAAGGCACTTCACTGCACACTGCAAGAGTTGGTTGAAGAATCCATTTATGCACAGCTCAGAGCAGGAACCCAAAATGAACCCAGGAGCCCAAAATGAAGCTGCATTAAAAACAGGGACTCATCTGATGTAACTGTTGGGGAAACTGCACATACAGACAGATGTCCCAGAAAAATCATCTCTGTGAGAGGGAAGAACCCAACACAGATACCCAGAGCTGAGTCTGATTCACTTCATGCCAAATAATAATGCAATACAGTTTTGGGTTTTCTTTTTTTTCCCCTTTCCTTTGAAATGTGAGCAACTTGGAATGTCTTTAAAATACACCTTTCACACTGCAGGAGTACCCACATTTTCTGCCAACAGATAAGTGGCAAAGGTGTTTCTCTGAGTTTCTTTGCTCCCCAAATCCTGAGAAATTTTCCTCTTACCTGCACAGGGACTCACTGCAAAGCCCACTCTCCTCTGGGCTCTGTCAAAGATGACATAAAATCCTTCCATGACTGTAGCACCAATGACCAGAGCATTTGTGGAGGAGGAGATACCAAATCGGTAGCACTGCATATTATCTCCTATCAGAAGGATGGGTTGAATATAAAGCTGTTAAAAATAAAATAAAAACAAAAATAAAAGTAAATTTTAAAAAAATTGGAAGCCAGAGTGTAAAAAGCAACACCTCACAGCAGGTAGAATTTCAGATTTTTTCATTCTTATAGTCCAGGCATGCAAATTCCACTGGACATGGAGAATGGATAGGGGCAAACAGATTTTTGTACATGATTTAAAACTGGTCAAAGCTAACAGGCAGGTGGTAAAGAGGTAAAGCTCCTGGATTCTAAAATGAATTTGAACACAGTCAGTCACTACATGCAGGTCAACAGCAAATTCTCAAGATTCTCACTTTTTACCACATTTTCCATAAGGGAAGGATGGCTGAGGAAGGACTTGGGAGATGAACTCAAATTAGAGAATAATTAGTTATTAAAAGAATTATTACGATGGAGTTGATTCAGAGAGCATTCAGTGTCAGATTCAAGGTTCTAGATTTTATAAATTCAAGTCACATTTCACCCCCTTTTTCCTCAGGGAAGATGAATGATTGCCAAGCTACATGATCAATACAGAAGAAGCTTATCATAAGGCTTTACTATATTTAAAGTTAAAATGTACTTAATAGGTTCATTCTTTCCATTGCTCTTGCCTGTCCCTTGAGGTAAAAGAATGTATTAGTAATGTTAGACAATACCAGCCTGTATTGCAACTTACACTGGGAGGAGAAGCCAGAGAAGAAAAACAAAAGTGGCACATTATATTTGAAATATAATGGTATGGATGGAATATTAATAAAAGATAAACCAGTTGAGTTACAGAAACTGGTGAAGAGCTCACAAAGGGTCATTGTCAAGATTTTCATATTCAGAAGAAGTGCTCCAACTCAAAATGCCACGAGAAACAAATCAATTCCCTTCCCAAAATGAGAAGATCAAAACAAGCAGAGGCATTCTGTATTGACATCTGATGTGGCCAAAGCTCATGAAAGCAAAATAGAAACTTGCCTGTTTTTCCTGACAAATTGCAAAAAAATAATTCCCAGCTAGATGGACTGCACTGAGAGGGAAACTGTGCTTTGTCCCTTTCTTTTTTTGCTTTTGGGCTTGACAAGTTTGTTATTTTCCCTATTTAAAAATTGATTTTTAAAATCTGATTAAAAATGGTTTCCTTTGCATGCAATAAGCCAGTTCCCTGTTACTGCCAAAAATAGCTCCTATTTTTTAAGATCATGTGCTTTGTAAAATAAAAAATAAATGCACAGATGAATAAACAAAGAAGGTTGAGACCTGTGGTAGGATAGAGATCCGAAACGACCTACTGGAGTTCTCATCCCTCAGGTAAATGGAGAGTTTGGGAAATAAGGACCAGGGTTTTTCAGTTCTATCCCAGCATGCAAGCTGTGTGCCAGTCCAGAATTCAGAAGAGAATTCTTGTATCTGTAAAACAAAGCAAACAAAATTATGCTTAGAGATTACAGCCATTCTGATAGATCTTTGTGAATGATCACTGCCACTATTTGATCCTTCTTTCATTTCCATGGAGCAATTCAAGAACAGAAATCTGAGCTGCTTCTTTAAGGACCAAGGCAAAAACCCAAGCCCAACACTCAAACCAAGGTGTGTCATGACCCATCATGACCTGGAGAAGGGGGAAGAGGCAAAAGCAAGTTTATGTCTCCCTTCCCTCCCCATTTCTGTCCCATTATTTCCTTTACTGCAGTGAACATGTGGCCTCCCTGAGCAATCACTTCCACAATGGGATTTTACTGCCTCCCTCCCTCCCCTCTGACCAAACACCAATGGTTTTGCATTTTACATTTTATAAAAAACACAAACCAAAACACAAATCACGTGAGTATATAATGAGATAATGAGGCCTCTCCATTGCTCATGCATCTACAGCTCCTTACTCAGAGTTTTGAAGCCCAGGGCTAAGCCAAAAATCTCCTGGCATGTGTGGGAATCATTTGCTGTAATGGAAAGAAACCCACCTTCTGTCTCTTTTGAAGCCCTGTTACTCCCTACCAGTACAACCTGACATGCTTTTGAAATAAATCTGATTATCAGTATTTTGTAATATATTCATGAACTAACAAAATGAAAAGCCAACCCCTACAGAGCTTGTTTGGTGTTACGGTTTGACACTGGCACAATGCCAGTGCCTTTATGAAAATGCAATCTCTCATATGAATGTTGTGAAATGCAATCGAGAACAGAGCAAAGCAGGCCTAAGCTTAATAACAGGGAAAAAAACTTTATTAAGCTACTACTATAAAAGGCTGCACTACACGCTAACTGGAACCAAAGAGAGAAGTTCTCTTAGGAATTCTGCTTTTAACCCCTCTATGTTCTCAGAGGTGTGTCCACCTTCAATTAGTCAATATCCAAATTAACCTCTTCCTTCTAAAAAAATTCTTTTTCCGTGTCAAACCACGACATTTGGCTAAGACAAACATCTTGCTCAATGTCCCTGCTCCCTGTAGCTGACCTGCTGCCAGATCTGAGCAAAACCCTTCCTCATTTTACTGCATTATTTTGTCTGGTTCCTGTTCCCCCAGAAAGCAGCAGAAGGGAGGAGGTTGATCTGAGGCTGCACAGCCAAAGCTTCCATCTGGGTGAAGGAAAAAGATGGAACCCAGCCTCTGCACTCTCCTCAGTTGTATTTATCTGTGATATGGATTATTCTGTAAGCATCAGCTCATTCATTAAAATGTGACATTTTACAGGTGACAGGCACTCACCCTCGCCGCACACCTGCCAATGAAGTGTTTGTCAGGGCTGCACAGAGACTTCTTCCCATTTCCAGCTGCTCTGCCCTGTTCTTGGGCCCCAGCAAGACTCATGTGAACAGGGAGATTTCTCACCACGAGCAAGCCTTTTACCCTGACCTCTCAGCTCATGCTGGAGTGCATCCCTTGGCACGGGGCAGAGCACTCCTCTCTCACAGCTGAGTCCCAGGCCAAACCTGCTGAGAAACACAGCTTTCCCTCTTTCCTTTTGGTCTTGAAGAGCAGATCTGAGAAAAATTGCAAGGTACCACTCAGCCAGGTCAGGCCAAGCCTATGAAGTGCTCTGTTTTAAGTGCCTGCTTTAATTTCCCAGAAAAACTGCTTAATGCATTGCATTTCTTTCCCTTCCTTCTGCACACTGCAGCAATGCATGTGGGAGATTTGAGTGCATGACACCCAAAAGGCTATTAAAAATAAAGATTTTAGGATTGTCTGAGCCTTCCTTCGTTCAACTTTCTAACTTAACTTTGTATTCCTGCTGTCCTGACTTCAGCTCAGTGAGGTGTAGTAGGTGCCCCCCCTCCCTGGCTCATTTCTGCCCATCTGCCAAAATCACCACCCTTCAACACCAAACTGCATCATAACAGCTGCTCTCTGAAAGCCTTCAGTTCAAATAATTTAAGTTTAAAAAACTATCTGCACCACTAAAGAGCATAGAGCTCACAGCCTTGTTTTTGAACTGAGTTGAATAAAGAAACGTGTCACACACAGTTATCCCAGTTTATCTGAGAGGGAAAATAACATCTGGCTGGGCTGCTCTTAACAAGCTATGAGGAGCAGGAACTTGTTAACCTGGCTCACCTGTGGTCAGGAAAGTGTGTCTGACTACAGCAGATCATTTTTTTTTCAGTGGTACATCTCCTGGCAGAAGCACAGAGCTGCAGTACAATTGCTGAAAATATCCATTTTCCTGACATTGCTCCTACACAGCTGGAATCCCATCCCTGCACCCTGTAACTACTTTCTTATTTAACAGACTATCTTCTTTGTTTAGAGCTGTCAAAGTAAATTCTGGGGTGTCTGGAGAGAAAGGTGTAGAGCAGGAAGGTCCTTGAGATTAAAAAGAATTCAGAAAAAAAAGCTTCTTCATGCATTTTTAATAGGAACAGGGAAAAAAAACCCATTAAGCAGAGGACTGGTTCCCCTCTAATACCTTATTGATCTGTCCACTGTTTCCTTGTGAGGTGGAAGGCCCCACTTCAAATGTCCTGACCATCATCAGAGGGGAGTGTGGATCACTGTGACCACTTCCCAGGAGGATTCCTTATGCACAGGGTGACATTACAAGAGCTCCTGGGCTGGCTTCTTTCAATTCTCCCCCCATGGACTGAAATTGTTCCAGTCAACACCAAAGTGTTGTGCAAAGAGAAGAACTCGTAACTGGTACATTTATTTCAGATATTGGACATCTGCAGGCAGTGAAGAATACTTCATGCCAAATCTCTGCTCTCCATCAAGAAGGAAAAAGGATCTCAATCTTGAATTATCAGCACACAGGCAAATACTGTCTTTTGGGGCAGCTGCTTACTGTGTTTCCTGTGATTTGTATCAACAACCACTGTCTGATTGTGAGTCCATGACAAAAATACCGAGTTTGTTCACACTGAAATAGCTGGTGTTTATTCCTCCTCTTTAACCTTCTTGGTGCTGTTCCTTGTATTGAACAAAAAATTTATGAATAGTTTTTATTAATCAGAAAATGCTGCTTCAGCCACTCTGCACACAGAGAACTCCACCATCCCCGTGCCCTACTTCTAAAGCCCACTCTGTTTCCAAAGAAAGATGCTTTGGAACATAAATAATTCAATAATGAAGGTCAAAAGCAGCTTTATTGATATGAATAACCCTAATGAATGGCATTTATTCTAGACAGCACTAAGAATTATGCTTGGAAAGGAACTGCTTGCAGCAGCAGGTTCTCCTACTTTATAAACACTCTGTTTAGAATGAAAAGACTGATTTTTGCACTCTTAATACTTTGAATCAGAGCAACAGGGATTATGTCTGTGTTTCTGAGATGTTTAGAATAAAAGACACCATTTCTGCCTTATTTCTGATGCATTTCCATACACACACTTCTTGCCTGCACTTGTGGCCCCCCTTTTCCCTCCCCTCTTCCTTTCCATCAGTCATTTCTCCCTTATTAACAGGGCTAGACCAGGAAGGTTCTGCTCCCCCCGGGTGAAAAACCTACGACTTGTAAGGCAGGCAGCAGAGATGACACTCCTTTCAAAGACCCTGTGATCCCTGAACAGGAATTTCACATTTCTGAGCAGGTTTCATGGCATTTTCTTACCAGGGACGTGCGAGCTATTGCCTGTACCACAGCACTGAAGACTTTCTCTGGCAGTCGAAGGAGAGTGGTTCCACTGTCTACTATGGCTTTATCAGCATTGTACTGGGGAGGGGAGAAAGAAAAAAAAGAGAGAAGTTGTATGCTGGAGTTACTGTAATGCAGATCCCACTGTCTCCTGAGCAGAACAAAGCTGCTCCTTTTTGGCAGCTGCCTTCCCAGAACTGCATGTCACACTTGTCAGCAGCCCTCTCCAGCTGACAGCTTCAATTCCAGCGAAATCTGAGAGCAAAAAAAAAAAGCAAAAAAAAGCAAGATACTATCAGCCTAGACGAAAGAATGGGTTTATCTGCACAGGTCAGGAAATTACTGTGTCACCACAGCTGGTGTAAATGGTCACGGTGCTGTAAAAAAGTGAATTCTGGCCCCTCTCAGAGTGGGCAAAAGCACTTTAATATTCAGTAGAGAGGTGTTGAATACCCTGAAGCAGCTTCTAAGTTCTAATCAAGGTCTCTACTGGCATGAGAACAACTCTACTTTAAACACAGCAGCCTGTTTTAATGGCTGGCATATCCAATATATGAATAAGCAGAAAAAATTAGGCCTTATTACATGTCTGTACTGGCTCAAGAGTACAAATGTCACACTTTATCCCTTCACTGCTGAAAATCCCTAAAACACACACACACACACACACACAAAAAAAAAAACAAACAAGTACAAAATTTCAATTTTGAAGTTTCAATCTTGCTGCCTTAAAATCTGCCCCCAAAAAAAGCCACCCATAGCAAACAGCTCTCTTATTACTAAAAGTTCAACCCTAAAATAAAGAGATTTCAGCAAACTTCAGATACAGTCAATGAGGTATAAACTTTTAAAAGGGTAAATCGTTTTTCATGAACTCTTTAAAAACTATGATTAACTGTAGGGGGGGTGGAGAAAAAAAGGCAAGTAGCAGTGGCAGATATTTGCATTAACTAATTTTGCTGCCAGCTTAGGCAGCAGGATTAATATAACTGAGCTGTGACATGTTTATGGCATAATCATAAGACACAGGATGATATACAGCCTAAGCTACTTAGGAAGAGGTCAAACAGCAAGTGAATTTAAAATACACTGGTTTGGATGTTAGCAAGTCACATGGAGTCCCTTTAGGGCATTGACAAAAATAAAACCCACCAAAAAAGTAAGAAAAAGTAACTTTTGAAAGTTATTTCCACATTTTTTTAAAGAGATGCTATGGGGTTGCCACACAGAGCTGAGAGAAAAGCAAACAGGAAACCATTTATTCCACACTCAGAAATACTTCTAAAGAGTGGAAAGAAATGCCAAGGCATTTTGGAGTCCGTTTGAACAGATTTGCACCACAAAATACACAATCACTGTCATCCTGGGATGCCACCCTTGGGGAAAAAAAAAGTAGTTAAAAGGGTTGACCAATGATATATAAACCTGTGCAAAAATCCGGGAGTAGTGGGATGGTTCACATCACTCAGCACCTGGTTTTGCCTTCTTGGCTTCCCTGGTTAATATTTACCAGTTGAAAAATGCACTTCTGGCAGCTCAGGACTCCTCCCAGCCCTGCTGCCAGGCTCGGAGCCACAGCTGTGCTGGAGCTCTGGACACATTCCCAGCATTGAAGCAACAGGACGAGTTTTCCCCAGCAAGGAAAGGAGCAGTCCCTGGTAAAAGCTGTGGAAAAAATGTTCAATTTCCTAGAAAACAACAGAGAGGAGAGAGGGCACACAGCTCCTCATCCTAGAGTGAATCATGCATCCTCTGCCAGCTCCTGACCAGACAAACTTGCATTGTGCTGCTCCTGGTTTACTGCTTTTCCTCCCAAATTCTGTGGAATTCCTGTGGGAAGGTCTCCTTTGATCCAGGAAGGCTTGATCCTCCTGCACCAGTGAAAGCAACCCCTGGCTCAGAAAAGAGCAACAATTACAGGAAACTTTCCTGACACACCACTGAATTTTTCAGTGAGCTGTTTTCTGGCAACAGCATGTATTAAACCACTGAAGGGCTCCCCTTCAAAAACATGTTGCCTGGTTTTTTAAGGCAAGAAAGAAAAGCAAACATTTGTTTTAAAGGACCAGTGGTTTTGCTTTCCTAACAGCACAGTAGAAGCATTTAAATAGACCTTGTTCTGCTTATTGAGTTGAAAGATGCTGTGACTCATTTTAAATAATTGATAAGGCAGTATGATTTCAATATTTTGCATGGAAATATAATATTTATGCACGTGTTATACTGGAATCATGAATTTCACTTAATTTATATGAAATATAAAAGCTTTAAGCTTATCGCATCCCATTGATCTCCAACTAAGAGCATCAGAGTAGAATGAAATTAGGATGTCTAAAGAAATTGGGGCATAAAAAATACAGAACTAAAATCAAAGCATGAATACCAACAAGCAAGGGTAAGAAAGAGATAAAGCACACACATACACATATATCCTCCACAAAAAAAAACAAACAATGAAATGCCTTTGGAATAAAAATTGCAACAGCACAGTCTCATTAGACTGATCTAGATAGAGCAGAACATTATTCTTAATAGAAACAGAATAGGAACAGAAAGTTTATCCATCAGGAATAATAACTGCCAACCACAAGAGAGCAAAAGTTGATTGCAAGAACATAAAATAAAAAAAGGAAGCCTAGGATGAGAACTTTAGGAAGCAACCCAGAGTGACACTGTCCACTGCCATCATGAGCTGTGAGCTTAGGCAGCCCTACAGGGGTCAACCCAAACCCTCCCATTTCCTTTGTCTGACCAGAATTGCTTTAATTCAATTTTCAGGACACTGCAATGCACATCTGCTTGCCAAGGCAGAACTGACCAAGCAGGTTTTTGTTTTGTTTTGTTTTTTCTCAGCCAAACTTGCATTTCACAGAGACAGGAACACAGAAGGGCCAATACCTCTCTGCAGTCCAGCTGGAGGTTCTGTCCCCCCACCTCCAGTTTGAGGATTTCCACCTGGTAGTACCACTCCTCTTTGATGGGTGTGTACCAGATATCCCCCGTGTACAGGCTTGGCTCAATTCCACCCAGCACCTAAGGGAGAGGAGAAAAAAAAGTCACATACTTGAAAACCCCACCTGTTTCATTTTGGGGCAAGGGAACACAAAAATGGAGATATTTAATTATGATACTCAGGGGCATCCAAGTTTTAATTTAGGACGATTTGTTAGGATTTTACTGTCAAGTTCTCTGTCAATAATAGAGCAGTATGAAACAACTAGACATTAAACAGATTGTGCTTCAAGCAGAATTCCCATACTGGGCCAAATTATCAGCATTTTCTTTCATCTACAACCTCACACTGATTCTATTATGAAAACTCCACTGTTTTAATTTTAAAAACAGTCTCTTCTGTGGTTAAATCTAGGCAGTGTATAAAAATGGGACAGAATAATAAACTTACATGTGAAAAATTTGTTTTATCAGATCAGAAAAGCTTTAATACTGTCCAAGAAAATTTCATTTATTCTTACACACATCTGAAATGGAATCCCATCCTGCCACTGCTATCACTCTTAGCTTCCATCAAAACCTAGGCTGAGGATGGCTGGGAGCATTTGTGGACTCTCTGACTCTGAGCTAAACCTAAGAAAGTTCTTTCTTGGTCTTGAATTATATGAAAAACATTTACAATATGTGAATTCTCCTCAAAGTGAGTATTTGTGATCAGCTCCTGTGCTGAGATGTTTATTTCAGCACCATTTGGGAACAGTCATTCCATCTCCCAATTCCAGATGCATAAAGGGCCTATTCATGGTCCCACTAAGGATGATGGAAAGATTTCCCAAAGTAACAGAAAGCAGGAGATCTGATCTACAGATTTTTTCCCTTTAATATGTTGTTAAAAAAAAAAAAAGACCCTTGATTCCTCTCCCCCTTTTCACATCACATAAAAAATATACTGTAGCATTTTGATGAAATTGAACAAATTTATCAGCTGAATAAGGGACTACTCAGTTTGAGAAATATAGCAGAATCTGCCCTGAGGAAACACCACAACATCCATGTTTTTCTTTGTTAAAAGATGAAAAGTTTACTCAAACTTGAGAGAGAAAAAAAAAAAAAGAATTGAGAATGAAAATAAATAACACTCAAATTTTGCCTAAGGGCTCAGCTTTTCTTTAAAAAAAATAGAAAACATATTTAGAATACGAAAATATATTTAAACACTAAATTTGGCAGAAGCAGGATAGTCAGAGAAAAGAGGGAGAGAGATGAACAAAGATACATTTTCCCTCTCTTATTGACAGATACCCACAAGACTACCTCCGTTGGTACCACTTCCAGAAACAGGGAGTCCAGCACCACACATCTGCAGGGAGAAAATGTTGGGGATCTTTGCCTGCCTCACGAGGGAATCAAAGAATGTCTCCACAGAACTGGAAGGCTTGAAAAAACAAAAAACAAACGAAGAAAAAAAAAAGAATTGAAGGGTTCATTAGAAAGTTTCTTTGCAGAAATCAGTAAATAATTAAAACAAGACTACTTTTCATGAGTAAATTGAATTTCTGACAAGCAGCTGATGAAAGTTCTAGACATAATAAGCCATTAAAATCCCAATATCTGTCATTTTTCTGTTTCTGCTGTTTTTAAAAACATTTTTACTCTTGGCCACTGTCAGCGCTGCTGCCACCTAATCCCTAAAACACAGGAGCAATTTTCCATTGCAGTTTCCAAACTCAAGCACCAGTTTCAGGCAGAAACTCTCACTGATAATTTCTGTTTGGAAAAGGCTTTGTGTTATTAGAACACTCAAAGGTAACTTGCCTTTCACAGCTTTCCATAGTTAAAAAGCAGAATTTTAAAGTCAAGATTTTCAGATTTTCAGCACTGTTGAATTGTAACAAACTTTGAGTTGAGTGGCCCAAATTTTCTCTCGTTTTTCTTAAAGAACTTCATACCCAAGCACACTTTCTCCAGCTGGGTACTGGCCAGGTTTCTTCCTGCCACTGTAGGTTTTCCTTTGCAGTCACTGGAGTGTTGCAACTTCCCTATAATTCAGATTTGTGTGCATGGAGGTCAGAGGGGCCAAATGTTCTCACTACACAAAGCCCAGAGCAGCCTCAGAAGCCAAAAACCCTGAAATGCTTGGAAGAAGGGAAGAGGAAATGCCCTGAGTACTCTGTTTGCCCCAAGGAGAGTTTGAGAACAGCCTCTTCTCTTCTCTTCTCTAGCAGCCTCAGAAGCCAAAAACCCTGAAATGCTTGGAAGAAGGGAAGAGGAAATGCCCTGAGTACTCTGTTTGCCCCAAGGAGAGTTTGAGAACAGC